TGAGTGTTGTAAAAAAAAAAAAAAAGGAAAGAAAGAAACCATATAAAAAAAAAAGTGTGATACAGGGAACTGACCTGTCTTGCTTACAGCTGTATCCTTAAAAACTATTGTAGTGATACCTTAAAAAGTAAATTATTCACAGGGCATGTCCCACAAAAATTTATTGAATGAATGAAGAGTTTACATTGTTGAAAATAGCTGGTATGTCTGGAGGAAGTTTCCAGCCAGTGGACATCCCTGCCTCCCTCCCTCCCTCTTAATGCATGTGGCTTCTCTCCCTGTGAAGTAGAGAAACTGCAGCATGGTGCCCCCCACATGTCTTTTTATTCTTCTCTTTGTCAAAACTACATTCGTCATTATGATTTTTCCTCAGTTTTGATTTAGTTGGAAAAATAAAGTTGGAGATGTAGCTGAAAATCAGGCTATAAATAAAACAGGATTTTGATAATGTTTTTCTTCTGAATATTGATTTTCATTATAGAGAAAAATAACATTTTAATTTTCAATCTCTACATGTATGAATTTGCAACCTTCTAAGACTAGAATTAAATATATTTGAAATGAAATTTAATTCCTTTGTTATCTTTCATGACTCGGATTTCGTGGCTTATATTTTATATTGGTTTGGAAGGTTTTTTTGCATTTGTAAAGTGATTATTGCAGTAATTAAAAATAGGAGTCATTGGTAGAAGTTAAGGATATATGTGTGAGAAGCTCCCAGAATGATTGAATTCAATAGGAAAAAAAATCAAACTATTTTTTGAGGTCTACTACCCAGATAACTAGCTGTTTTTGTAACATCTGAGTCACCCCNGCTTAGAGATGTTAGGTCACAGAGTAGAGGTAAAATTAAAGCCCACAGTCAGTCTGAATCAAGAATGGGAGGACTTAACCATAGGAAAATGGATAGGACCTGGAAAATGGTTGCCCTCATTCGGCTGTAATTCTGTGGCACTTAGCACAGCTTCTTACACATCACGAGCCCCTTGTCTGTGTTACATGAATTGGTTAATGAGTAACAATGTAAAATTTATGATCTACTCTTTTCTTTTTCTATTTTCTCCCTGTTCACAAATGATGACCTTTGATATAGTTGACAAGGAATTTTTTGTCTAGATTGTTTGTAACCTAATGTTGTCTATTCTTGAGCTTTATTCACAGACATATGTCTAATAAATGTTGACCGACTAATCAATTGAAGAAAGATGATATGAGTGTTGTAAAAAAAAAAAGGAAAGAAAGAAACCATATAAAAAAAAATGTGATACAGGGAACTGACCTGTCTTGCTTACAGCTGTATCCTTAAAAACTATTGTAGTGATACCTTAAACAGTAAATTATTCACAGGGCATGTCCCACAAAAATTTATTGAATGAATGAAGAGTTTACATT